GCTGGGGGGGCCCCGGGCGCCCGCGGGGTGCCAGAGCGGCGAGCCCGCACCCCCACGCCTAGTCCTAGGGACCAGGTTTTGGGGAGCCGGCGTCCGCCCCCACCCCCAACATCCCCACGCGGATGTGATGGGTTCTTCCAGTGGGAACCTGTGTAAGCCTAACCGGGATCCGGGAGAGTCCCTGACCTCTTCTCGGTCCGGGGCCCGAGGGAAGGGGACTGGAGTCCGGCTTCGGCCTCGGTTCCTGCCTGGTTGGCGGGGCGAACGGACGGGCGCTGTCTGCAGACTCACTGCGGAGCCTCAGGCCTTGGAGAGCGGGCGCGGGGGCCTGGGCCCTGCTTCCTAGGACAGACCCTTCTGTCCCCACCCAGCCAGGCGAGTGGATGGCTAAATGCTTAAGACTTTGGCTCTCTATCTGGGAAGAGAGAGAGAGAGGGCACCTGTCACCTCTTGAGTTGGACACAGGGACACATTTAGGCCTGCGGAGGTTCACCCCTACCTCGGGGCCTTTCTTGTATGATCCCCCTAATCCCCCCCCCAGGGCCAATTTCCAGGCTATGCCCTGCTCTCATTTCTGCTATTTCCCATGGGGGGGGGGGTGGAGGGGGACACACAAAACAACAACAAGAACAAAAACTGACCACTGGGCGGAGAGTATGGTGTCCAGGAGAATCTGCAGATAGGGTGCATCCTAGAAACCTCGGTTGCCACACCCAGAGAGAGGCTGGGACTCTAGTGTTCCTTGCCCTCTATTTCTCCCTTAGGATTTTCCCCCCTCCCCACCTGCTTGTGCTGTTATGTAATTAACCCAGCTGAGTCTCTCTGCCAAGCTAGCAGTATTCAGGGATGGCCTAGGGGCCTGGGGACCTGGAGGGACATGTGAGGTGGAGGCATTGGTTCTTCCTCCCTAGTTGGGAATGGCCATGAGTGTACAAACACCTGTTGGGGAAAGGACTTGCATAAGGCACATAAAAGATCTAGACTTAGGGTTCTAGACTTAATTGACAGCTGGCTAGAGGTCTTTGCCTACCTAAGTATCAGCATCTCTCTCTTGTGCGTGCTCTCTCTCACCACACACACACACACACACACACACTATGTATATGAACCCATACAATAATGGATAGTTAGCCTTTGATAGCCTTGAGTTTATGGAAAGCATGTAACAGTTGCTACAGAATGCCTACTCTGTGCCAGGCACTGGGCTTTGCATTCACAGCCTCACAACACCTTACAAAGTTTTTATCCAGACCTTTTGCTTATAGAATACATGCACATCTGCCCCTAGATTAACCTTTTGAACTAGAACAACCTGGGGGACGCTCAGTTATGAAAAGAACACATTCACCAGGAAAGAGAACTCATACATGCTGAAAAACATGGCCCCCGCTGGTCTGGTTGTAGTCCAGTCAACTCACCTAACCTGGACCTCCTTAGCAGTCCCTGGGATCATAATCCCCAACCGAGGGAGACACATCCCTGCTAAGACATCTACAGGGATGTGTTTCAAAGTAGGGGCTATTGGCCCCGTTTTGCAAATGTGCAGAGGCTCAGCTGTGATCAGACAGATGATTTGTCTACTGACCCACAGCTAGAAAATGTCAGTGCTGGGGTTTCTACCCAAGCTCTGAAAGTCATGGAAACCGGCATGGAGTTAGTGAGTTCCTATCGCAGTCTAACCACTTAGCAGCTCTTTGCTGGGTACCAGCTGTGTGCCAGGTCCTCTGAGCTCCAAATGGTGTTAGAGAATCAAACCTACTTCTTGGCCTGTGGCTAGTCACCATTTAAAATCACTACATTTCAAAGTTGGAGGTACTACAAGAAGGGTGTAGAAAGGAGTAGCTGTTATTCCCCCAGGGTGCAGCTTTGGGTAGAATGAGTTTCTGAGAGGTGAATAGTGCTACCTCTTGCTGGCATGTATTGTATTGACCCAGGATAACCATATGGGCTTGCCAACAGCAGGTGAATTGCTATGTGTTCTCCAGAGCCAATGTGGTCATCTAGTGCAGTGATTCACGATTGGGAACATTGGGAAATGGTGGTGGTGGTGGTGGTGTGTGTGTACTTTAAGCCATTGTGATAACTAGAAGCTACATTACTTGGGAGCCATGAAAATAAAATGTCCTGTATAAGAAAGTGTTCTCTCCACACAAAATGGCCAGGAGAGTCTCCGCTGAGACTCACTTGCCCGGCCTTACCCTACCAGGATGAGATGGAGACACGGAGGAGTTGCTGTCTTGTCCAGGCTCCATGGGGAAACTGGGATTTGAACCCAAGTCCCATGCTGTCTCCTCTGCTGTGAAACCTGCCATGGCTGGGGAGGCAGGCCTGGTGAAAAATCAGGTTGTTACACAAGTCAAGAGGGATGAACCAGTGGTGTGCAAGAAGAATGGGGGAGGGAAGATGGCGAAGTTTGGGATAGATGAAGATCTGGGTTCGAAGAAAGGAGCAGAGGGTATTTCAAATGCAGTGACAGCTCCATCAAAGAGCCAGAGGTGGCAAAGTGCAGGGCATGCGGGCGGGATAAGCCAGCCAGTACACTAAGCCCCACTCTTTTCCTCCCAGTCTAGGTGGAGGCCGCAGGAGGCCTAGGACAAGCAGAGGCAGCAATGATTGGTCCTGACGGTGGCTGAGCCCCCAGCCCCTGGAATATGCAGCCCGGGGGAGCCCCAGGCAAGGACGCGGTGGCGGAGTGGGGCGGGAGGCATGGTCTCCACCTACCGGGTGGCTGTGCTGGGGGCACGAGGTGTGGGCAAGAGTGCCATCGTGCGCCAGTTCTTGTACAACGAGTTCAGCGAGGTCTGTGTGCCCACCACCGCCCGCCGCCTCTACCTGCCTGCTGTGGTCATGAACGGCCATGTGCACGACCTCCAGATCCTAGACTTCCCGCCCATCAGCGCCTTCCCTGTCAACACACTGCAGGTAGGCCACACGTTGGGGCAGTGGAGTAGGGGGGGCTGGGGTTGAGAGTTCTGCATTGCACCTTGGCCCTCCTCCTTAGTGCATCTGAGGAAGCCATTGATTATGTGCTAGTTAATTCAGCAATTATTTAATGACTGTTTAATGGGTGCCAGGCCTCCATTGGGCACTGGATCAGAATGGTCAGCAAAACAGATAGGCAATTTACTTTCCAGGAACTCACAGTCTGAGGAGGGAAGACTGTTGACAGGCAGTTATTTTATGTTAAGTGTGACTGGAAGTGAGTGAGCTAAGTCAGCCCTAGGGGAGATAATCACCCACTCAGGTATGGGGTCACAGGAGGTGATGTAGGTGTTGGGCAGGTAGGAGACAGTGAAGAAGGGCAGGGAACAGGCTGCTTTTCAATCTGGGCTCTGCCAAACTTGGCCTCAGATCCTACTTCATCACCTGTAGAAGGGACAGTCGAACCGGCTGGGATCTGAGAAAGAGAAGTTAGCAGAGACTCGGGAGGTCATAAGTGGTCTCATGTCCAAGGGCTTCTTATAGGTGAAAGAAGCTCGATCTGACTGCTCCCTCAATCTCAGGACTTTCCTACAGGGTTTGGATTTAACTGTCCACAGTACCTTCACTCATAGTGTCCTTCCCTCCAGTAGAGACCCAAGTCAGGGACATACTGTGGCCAGAGGGAACAGTGGATGCAGCCATCTCTCAGGCTGGGGCCGGGGGCTGGCAGGGGCTCAGCACTCACATTGTCTCATGCTACCTGGAGAGCCTTGTTTTGTTTTTGGTTTGGGTTTTGTTTTCATTTTTGGTTGTGGGGCTTGAACTGTAGGCCTGGGCACTGTCCCTCAGCTCTTCAGCTCAAGGCTAGCAGTCTACCTTGAGCCACAGCGCCACTTGTGGTTTTCTGGTGGTTAATTGGAGATAAGATTCCCATGGCCTTTCCTGCCCTGGCTGGCTTTGAACTGTGATTCACAGATCTCAGCCTCCTGAGTAGCTAGGATTACAGGCCACCGGTGCCCAGCTCAAGAGTTTTTGATGATACCTGAGTGAACTTCAGATCTGGCTCCAACCCTGCACCAGGCTTTATTTCTTCTTCACATTTAGTTGTGGATTTATCTTCAGTGTAATTTTAATTTTGGAGTAGACAAAATACAGTTTTAAAGTCCAAAGTATGGCCTTCTCCTCCCCCATAACTCTCTAACGTTTTCATTGACTTTTAATTCATGCTTATAATATTGTGTGTGTGCATGCACACACCAGTGCCAGAGCGGTGCTTGAATTCAGGGGACTAATCCTGAGCTTTTTTGCTCGAGGCTGGTGCTCTACCACTTGACCCACAACTTTTCTTCTGGCTTTTTAGTGCTAAATGGAGATAAGAGTCTCTGTTTCCTGCCCTGACTGACTTCAAACGCCATCCTCAGATCTTGGTTTTTGTTTTAAATAAGAGACATGGTCTTACTGTGTAGCTTAGGTTGGCCTTAAACCTTAAATCCTGCGACAGCCACCTCCTCTTCTTTCTGCCTCCTCCTCCTGTTTTTTTGTTTTTTGTTTTTTTTTGGTCATGGGGCTTGAACTCAGGGCCTGGGTGCTGTCCTTCAGCTCAGCTCAAGGCTAGCGCTTTACTACTAGAGCCACAGTACCACTTCTGGTTTCCTGAGTGGTTTATTGGAGATAAGAGTCTCACGGACTTTCCTGCCCAGGCTGGCTTGGAACCACGCTCCTCAGATCTCAGCCTCCTGAGTAGCTAGGATTACAGGTGTGAGCCACCAGCACCTGGCTTTACTGATGTTTTAACTCTGACTCTACCACTTGAACCATGTCCCCCAGTCCTTCTTGCTTTTAGTTATTTTTGCTGGGGCTGGCCTCAGACCACGATTCCATCACCTCCACCTTCTCCATAGCAGGGATTACAGGTGTAAGCACAATGCCTAGTCCTTCGCTCTTGCTTCTTTAACAGAATCCAGAAGTTATCTCTCCTCAGTAGAGGACTTCTTTGTTCTTTCTCGTGGCTACACTGTATCCTGCTAGATTATTTCATGGATCCCCTCTTGATGGACAAAGAATGTTTTATAATATTGTGCTGTTTTGAGCACTGGCACGATGAATTGTGAGGCACAGGAATAGCTTTGTATTTAAGTATATTTTCGGAATCAGTCCCTCAAAATGACATTGCTGGATCAAAGGGTACAAGCAACCAGAATTTGGAAGATGTCTCCTGATTCCCCTTGTGCAAGTTATACATGTACTTCAGCAAATGATTTTCCAAGAGCCTGTTTCCTTGAAGCCTCACCATCATGGATTACTTAATTTTTGGAGTCAAAGTCTCCCAACGTACCCCTCGCCTAGTCTGGGATCCACCACCCTCCTTCCTCAATCTCCTGAGTTACTGGGATTACAGGGTGCTTCACCATGCCCAGTAAACTTGGATTTTTTTTTTAATAATCTGAGCATTGAGGTATGGTAGCCTCGGTGTAGTCTTTATTTGCCTCTCTGCTTATTAATGAAATTGAACATTTCCCCTGTGTGTTTAAGAGCCTTGGCTTTGTGTTTCTTTTCTGAGAACTAGTCATGTCTTTCCACCACTTCCTATTGGGACCCTTATCTTGGGGCTCTAGGATAGCTAAGGCTTTACTCCTGGAGAATAGAGAAGGAGGGGCTGTGCAGAGAGAAGTACTGAGAAGGGACTCTGGAAGCTGCTCAAAGACCAAATATAAAACTCAAGAATCCTGTTGGTCATTATCTATAAAGAAAACAATGCCTTCTTCCCCATTGCTGGCAGAGAGGCAGTGCCGTGTGGGCTTCATTCAGTCCAACGCCTCCTGTCAGGGGATGCCGAGGCGAGGGACATGTGAAACCTGCCAAGGGAATTACGAGCGTGGTTGAGACTCAGGAAGTAGACTCCATTTTCAGTGTTCATCTTTGTTTGGTTTTGACGCTAGGGATTGAACCCAGGGCCTTGTGCATGTTAAGTATGTGCTGTACCACGGAGCTATGCACTCGGCTCCTCCTTCTCTGTCTTAACATAGCCAAGATGGTCTTTTTTAGGACACATTAGATCTCTGCATAGAGCAAGCTGGAAGGAAAGCTGAACTTTCTCCATTCCTTCCTTCGATCAAGGAATGAAAGGCCAACACAATCAGAAGTTTTCTGCCTCTCCCTTTTAGGAGCCCCCAGAGCGGAGTGGGAGGCAGCCTAGGGTCCCCTCAAAGAGGCAGCATGTTGGGAGAGAGGTGGGGCTGTCACCCTTAAAAGCTGGCAGCTGCTCCTTGTCCCCAGCAGAGAGCTTGCAGAAAGTGGGAATTTCTCCTCCCTCCCACGGACTCCACTTCTCCTGTGGGTTGGGGGAGGAACCACCTACTCATACAGCCCCTAGATCTCTGTGGGCATTGTGTTCCACACAGCGAGTTCTTCTCAGCCAGTCCATGGGTTCCTACAGTTTTAGATTTGTCCTCAGCATCCTCCCCTTACACCAAAACTGAAAACCTCAGCACAAAGAGCCACAGCATCTCCTTGGGGAAAGCCACAGCAGCTTCTTCAAGTTCCAAGTCAGACGTGCTCTTCTGAAATCAGACTTCCTACACCAGGTGGCAGCTGAACCTGTTCTTTTGTATTCCTTCTTCAAGGTGGAGGACTGTCTGGAGTCTTCCCTTGTGTGCAGCCCTTGGCCTAAGCCAACTCAAGCTGGAACAAGAGCATGCCTCCCCCTCTAATAGTCTTTTTCCCCCTTTTCCGTTCTGCTTTTTTTCTTTTTCTTTTTCTTCGTGCTGGGGATGGAACCTGGGATCTCAGGAGTGTTAGGCATTTGCCCCTCCTCACCACCTCCTTGCATGAGTCCTAGAGGGAGAAAACCCTGGTTTCCTTTGCTTGGAAAGATCTGCCTTCATCACTGCAGAGACCCCCTTCTTTCCTATGTTGACTGCCTGAAACTCCTCTTGAAATTGTATCTGTTGGAGGTTACTTAACTAATTAATTTCTTAAGGAATCTTCCCTTTAGCACATTCAGCCTTTCCTGGGATCTATTTATCTTAAGCTGTAGCCCCTCCCTGAGAAGTTGACCTAACACACATACCGGAAGTTCTGTCTCCCTGGAGCTGCCCTGAGGCTCTACTCTCTTCACCCACCCCCTTTCTGCACTATCTCAGCCTTTTTCCCCAGGCCTCTGCTTCTCAATCCTGAGGATAGAGAGGAGCCCTCAAACAGGTAGAGTCCTAGGGGTTGTGTAAGGAGCAGGATTTGCCTGGATTTCAGGCTGGACTCAAATTCAGCACCATGGACAGATCACTACCGGGTGGTGGGCGCTCACAGCAGATGTGAGGACCTGGAAAATGGAACAATGTATAACCAGGGTATGATAGAAGGAAGTTAGACACAGGAGATAAAGGGAGTTAGTGCCCTCTTGCAAGAAGGGTGGCAAATCAGGAAGGCTTCTTGGAGGAGGAACATTGGAAGACTGGATGCTAACAGTTTCAATAAATAGCTCAGTGTTAGGTTCTTTGAGGAATCAATGGACTTGTTGAACAAGATGGAAGGGAGGGAAAGAGGAAGGAAGGAAGGAAGGAAGGTAGGCCCGTCACAAGATAGCTGTAACTTCAAGATATGCAGAAGACAGTAATATGGTCCTGTTAGTCACTCGACGCAGAACCTGCGCTGTCCTGGCTTGCAGGGCCGGCATTCTCCCAGGGCCTTGGCTTCCTGAGGATGGGTTTGTGCTGGAGGTCTCTGGTGCAGTGGCGGTCGGATAGAGGCGATCGTGGGGGACCCTCATGGCTTCTCTGACTGGTACTGTGGGGGGTGTTGCAGGAGTGGGCAGATGCCTGCTGCAGGGGACTCCGGAGCGTCCACGCCTACATCCTGGTGTACGACATCTGCTGCTTTGACAGCTTCGAGTACGTCAAAACCATCCGCCAGCAGATCCTGGAGACAAGGTGAGGGTCTGCCCGCACAGTCCGCTCCTCACCTCTGTCCATGCCCCAGGGCCAGCCTGTCCCCTGGGCAAAAGGGAAGGCGAGGGGGCAGGTGAAGCTCACAGACTCCCTGGTTCCCACATAAACTCCAACATGCACGAAACTCACCTTTCTGTCTCCCATTACTGTTCACTTATTTGGGGCCCTGACTTTGAGGGGTGTTCTTGACCCGTGGAGTATCAAAGAGCAGAGGTGCTGCCAACAAGACCGCTAGGGGCATTCAAGTTGCAGGCCAGGGGGCCGGTGAGTACTTAAGCCTGCCCCAGTCTCCGCCTCTGTGGAATAGATGCAATCGTGCCGAGTTGGGAGGGGTTTTTAACACATCGATCGTGCTGATTGGAGACTATAACTCACCCCCCCCCCCCGCCACACACACACCCTAAGGACTGGGGGCTGCCTCCAGTGGAGGCTGGGAGACTGGCCGAGTTCTGAGCTTCCCGCCCCCCCCCGGCCCCGCAGGGTGATCGGCACCTCGGAGACCCCCATCATCATCGTGGGCAACAAGCGGGACCTGCAGCGCGGGCGCGTGATCCCGCGCTGGAACGTGTCGCACCTGGTGCGGAAGACGTGGAAGTGCGGCTACGTGGAGTGCTCGGCCAAGTACAACTGGCACATCCTGCTGCTCTTCAGCGAGCTGCTCAAGAGCGTCGGCTGCGCCCGCTGCAAGCACGTGCACGCCGCCCTGCGCTTCCAGGGCGCGCTGCGCCGCAACCGCTGCGCCATCATG